ATCAAAAGAAAAATCAAAATCAAAAATCAAAAAAATCAAAAATAATCAAAAATCAAAAAATCATTGTACACATTTTGTTTGAGTGAGCCCCCCCTCGGCGCAAACGTTCATTTGAAAAAAAAACCATTGAACTCACCCACTTACAATGAGTGTAAAACGTTTTGTAAATGCATTAAGGACAATCGACTTGTAATAATGCAGTGTGGGTTTGTGGAAGAGCCAGAGTGCCAGAGTGCCAATCTCGCCTTTCAGCCTAAACTCAGATTACACCATACGATAAAACATTTATAGTTCGGCTCGCGCCCACATACCATTATATATCCAAATGTTTCCAAATGGCCTTCTCTCTCTCTCTCTCTCTCTCTCTCTCTCTCTCTCTCTCTCTCTCTCTCCGTGCAGGCCGCTCCCGCCCACACGACACGACCAGAGGGACGGCGCGAAATGTTTTATGCGCGGCGTCCTTTTAAAACTGATTATTGATCGGCTTTTCAAACGAGTCATTCATAAGGAGCGCTGCCTCTGCCGCGCGTGCCGCGTCATGCTCCCCGCTGTGGGTCACGTCCCGCCCGGGCGAGCTGGACACACACACACTCACACACACACACAATCGATCAGACAGTAAGGCGATTGTTTTGAGCGCGCTACTGGCCTTGTCCTTGTGCTCGCATCCGTCAAACGGCGAGCAGCGGCGGTGGCCCACCGCCATGAGATGCTTATCGGCGGGGGTGGAGAGAGAGAGAGAGTAGAGAGAGAGGGAGAGAAGAGAGAAGAGAGAGAGGGGGGGGGGTCTATCATGCACCATCATCAGCCGCCGTGATTGTGTGTGTGTGTGTGAAAACAGAGTGTATTGTGCAACCATTTTTCAATTTGCCCTACTGCATAATATGCTGCTATACTAAAACGCAAAAGGAAAAAGAAGAAAGCTGACGAGATAAAAAGCTTATCGACGAAGCGTTATTATCGCCCATGCTATTCTTTTCTCCTCCTTCGTCAGACATAGACAAAAGCTCCCCATGACTGCCGCTGAAGGCCCGCGTACTACCACCTGGTACTACCGCTCTCTCGCCACCAAAGCCATCGCCATGAAGAAGCTATTATTCAGACGAAAACACCGGGTAACGCAAAGTAACGCGCCGCCAGAATGAAGCGGCAACAACGATTGCCGTCCGTCATTAAGACGATGACGATCAGCTCGAGGGACAATTAATATACTCCTCCGGATACCCCCCCCCATTTCCACCCGGAGCCTTTCCTCCTCACTCTAATTCTATACCTTCACCATTCATATACCCTTCCACATCAGGAGATTGTTTCACAATCATCAGGTGAGAATGCAGAGAAAACTTTTGGGAATGAAAATAGCTGTACCATCCACAGTTTAGTTAGTTTCGGACGTGACCGTAACATGTATGGTTGAGTCAACACCCATAACAACTTCGAACCCAAAATTTGGTAGTGCTCCTCCAGACATGAACAAAAACATATGTAGAAATGTGCCCAAGTCGACTACTTTCTGGTCTGCACAGTTTACCAGTTCAGTCGAGTTCAGTACAACTCCTACAACTTCCCAGTTAGTTGTGAAAAAGTTGCGCAAAATAAAGACAAAAACTTACCGGAACGTCCACCAAATGTTGAAGCACATCGTGTTGAGCCAGAAGAAGGCGGCCAGAAACAGGAAATGCATCAGGACGGCTGCAACAAAACGAAAACAAAACACGCCGGTCACTTTTATGGACTTAGCTTCTAGCAAAGGAGGAAGGCGTAAAATAGGAAAGACAGAGAAACGCAAAGCATCGGCGCTACGTGTGAGTCGAGCTGACCAAAAGGGCTGCACCACCACAACATCCGCCGCCCACACGTGCGGTACTAAAAGTTACAGGTTCAAATACTGCCAAGGACATTCACCACTGACGGGCTGACCGTTTCCTCTCTGCACTCTGTGCTCTCTCTCTCACTCCTCCCCCCCCCCCC